AACTGCCACTTCCCTCACACAAGCGGTTGCCCACTGAGCGCACTTTTCCCGACGACCGCAAAGGTCACAGTGCGTAGTGCCAAACTCGCAAAATCAAAGCTCTGCAATAATAGTCTAAGAATTGAATATGTATATGCATGAGAAATCAAATCAAAGCATCTGTCATATTGCCAGCTGGAAATCGCCAAAGGCATCAAATGGTATGGCCAGAGAAATAAAGATGCGTCACTCAAAGCTTTGTATTGTTGCCCATATGCCGTAATCTATGAGGTTATCTGGTGGTAGAAGGTAGAAGCACGGAGAGTTTCAACCAACCGTCCAACAAATTGTTTCGATTGAGCCAGGACGACAGTCTGGACAGGCTTGGGGATTCGATCCCAAGCTTGCAACAAATAGGCTTCTTTCTCGTAGCGCGCAATGGATTTGTGGCATCGCCACCGCCCTTTTTTCTGAATTTGTAGGAGAGACCGTCGCTTGCAACACTGATCGTTACTAGCAGCAGAGTGTCGGACCATGTGGGGTGTGACCGATATGGGGAGCCCCAAGGCAGTGGAAGCCTACGCAAACAGTTTTTCGTACCGTGCAAGAGTGAGTGCAGGAAAAACATAATTGTCAATAGCCGGCGCATACCCCTGTCGGCAAAAGGCCATGACTTGAAACATCCAGTGTCTGCAAACATCACCCACCATGATACTGGAATCAACCTCCCCTGTCTTGGTGGTGATCCCAAATTCCTGCGGAGCCAGCATGATTCCCCAAGACTTCTGTGCATTGGAACCTTTCGGCCCGGGCGGCAGGAGTTGACTTTGCCGCAAGGTCAGTGTCTCAGAGGGGCGCATGTAAGTGTCAAACTGCAAACAGAGCGCCAAACATGCGCCTAACTCTCCTTGTTCCAAGAGATGCGAAGCAATGGCAAAAATGACTTCCTCAGGCATAGGCACCCGAGCACGGGCAGGTGCCCGGCGCTTCCAAGCTTTCAAGCACTTCTTTGAATTGCAGAGAAATTCTTTGTCAGAGCCACGATTGCGCACCAATTGCAAACCATATACAAGATAGCTACCATGCCAAATATGCCAACCTGATTCAAAGCCAGCCAGCAAAAATTGCGAAACAGTTGCGTCTAAATTCAAAAGGGAAGTGCTTTTGCGGTGTGCCCGAGCCCATTCTTCAAAATCAGCTATGCAATCTAAATATCGTGACAAAGTGGTCTTCGAGACAGACTTGAGCCGGAGTCTGTCCTGGGCTGGCGCCCAAGCCAAAGAGTCAAGGTCTTGCTTTCGCTGCTTGGAGCGCTTGCGCTCAAGCGCCTTGCTCCTTGAGCCACTGCGAGTGCTGATTCGTGAGCTGCCGGAAAAGGATCGGCTGACTGCAAGTCTTGGCCTTGGCTCTGGTCCGCTGGGGGGCCTGGAGATGCAGTGCCCCACGTTCGCCTTCAGCTGCTGATTGGCGGTGAGGACGGCGCTGCTGCGCAATTTCTTTGAAGCGTTGGCCAACAACTCTGCTGAAATTGGAAACGTCTGCTTGGAAAGCAGCCTGTGGCGCTTGCTCATACACCGCCAAGGCCCACGCTTGGGCAAGGCCCCACGGATACTCTCCAGCGCAAGCCGTGGGGTTTCCAGATTTCACCTTGCAGCTAGCAGGCAACCTTTTAGTGCCACATTGCGAGGCGTGATGATGATTCTTGGTGCACGCTCGAGCCAGTGCCCGAAGCGACGCCATATTTGTCAATAGCGACGTGTCTTGCTTGTACATACTACCGTAACTGCACATGGACCAGTGAATAAATTGAACTTGGTGAAGGCCGAATAAATCCACCAAAGGGGGAAATTCCCAAACTCTAGATCCTCGGGGATTTTCAATGGAAAAGAACCAACCCATGCGATATTGAATCCGGCAGGCAGCAATAGTGAACATGGTGAGCTCCAAAGACACCTTTTCCCGGGCTCTAGCCCGCACATGATTCTTTATCCCCTTTCTTGCCCTGGACCAGCAAGCGCCAGGGAGCCCAAAATGGATGTACCAAACCAGGCCTCGCTCCAGCAAGGCCAGAAGTAGGCTCTGCGTTGAAGGCCTGGTCAAATCGAATTCGACACCCATACGAAAATCAAATGCAGCCAAACACGTAAAACCCATCGCAGCCATAGAGGATGTCAATCTAGCACTGTCAGCAAATACTTCGAGAAAAAACAAAGGAAGAACCACAGGAATGACCGACGGGATGTGAATATCTGGGATGTCAAAATCCTTGTCCCTACTGCTGAAACATTGTGTGTCTGCCAAGTTGATGCGTTGGGGCTCAATGTCTCTGGTTGCAAACTTACCCACATACTCATCCTTCGCGCCCCCAGTTGCAGCCGAGGAATCGTAAATGGCAGTTCGCAGGATCATGTCATGCTCCGCTTTGGCCCACTTTTTGGGTGGAGAGGGGTCAAACCATCGACTAGGAGCATCTGCAGTGTTTACACCAGTAGGAATATGCCTAATGTGCCACCGAATCCCCAAAAAAATGCAATAAGCTGCGCTTCTTCGAACCAATTGGTTCAAAGCATAGCTACTTGATCGCCCTTTGGAGAAGGCTAATACACAAGAGAGGTTGTCCGAGAGGGACAACAATCTACAATGAGCATTCTGCGCACTGCGGCAGTGCCGGCGGAGCCCCATCAACAACACCCGCGCCTCTTTCAGGTTGATGTGCTCCAGCTTGTACTTCCATGGCCTGGCAACAAGCAACCGATATCGGCCAGGTTTATGCCAGCATTCGCGGAGTGGTTCACATATTGTGGGAACTTCAATTGTAACGGTGTTGGTGCTCTGTATCTCACCCTTGAGTGTGATGTTCTTTCTCTTCATGTGTACTTCAGCTTTAGCCCGAACGGATTTCCCATACGTTGTAGAGGAAGCCAACCCTTGAAGTGGAGACTGACCTCTAGCATGGGTGCAACCATGGGTAACCTCACCGTCGGGCACCTCCACATGAGCTTCTACGAATCGCCACCGCTCTTGACACCTCATCGCAGTCTTGACTTCCAACTCTGTTGCTGTGGTCTCCATAAGTGAAAACCCGTGTGAAGAGCTGTCACCTAGGTACACTGTGTTGTGATATGGTGCTTGCAGATCTGCTTCATTCAGGAAGATGAGGCCGAGAACCATTCTCATCCCAAGCCGAACACTTGGCCATACCAGCGAACGCTTGCCCAACGAAGCTTCTACAAAACGATAACACGCATGTATAGCCGACATGTTGCATCTAGCCAGCTGAAAATGGTGAACCACATGCCCAATGCACACACGCATCATTTCGCCCCGAATCCTGCCTCTTCGGAGGAGTGCCCGGGTGGCCATGTAGAGCCGCCAAGATCTTGCCGCACGGTGCCTGATGCAGCGGCGTTCCAAATCAAACACCAGCCCTAATGTTTCAAAGCGATCCAAGGCTTCGTCTCCAGATACCACAAAAGGAATACCCAACTGTTGGAAGGTGTTCACAATGCCAGTTATCCGTTCATTGATTGAGGACGCGCTGCCACCAATGACTTGAAGATTATCAACATAAACCCCAATAACAGGCTTACACGGTGAAATATCCGGCACAATGGCCTTGTCCAGCAAGAGGTCTGAGGAATCGCCGTTGACTGAAAGGGAGGCCTGGTGAGTGACGATGGACTGCGCCAAGTGAAGTGCCCAGCTCCAACCCATACAAACCCCGCGGAAGCAGGGAATCAGTACTTCCCCAGGTTGCACTGGAGTGTACTTCTGAAGATCATCATCAAATATGGTTGTTGGCTCCATACCTAGCTCAGCTAGTCGTTCCACCGAAAAGCTATCAAACGTGCAGAACCATGAAGCCAATTCTTCAATAGTAAAGTTGTAAAAACAATCACCTACATCACCTTCATTCCCCCGACATGCTACCCGCGGAGGATGTTCCTGAGGACCCTCACCATCATGTAAACCAAAGATTTCTCCAAAGCCTTGTTCCATGATGTTATACTCAGTGAGGTCCAAGCCGCCGAAGGCTGCGGGTGTGGACAATTTGGTTGGTGGTGGAGGTCTATGACATCGGTTCGCTTGTCGAGCATCGCAAATCAATCTTTGCATTCCATCCTTCTTTTTAATTACAAAGAAGGCAATTAGTGCTTTTCTCTTCCTACGAAACGACAACAACCCTGCTTTCCACAACCTGAAATAAAGGTCTTCTCGGTTTCTTAAGGACTTCTTGAGTTGAGGGTCCCAATACGGCTCAACCCCCAAGCCTTCAGGGTATGCTGCTAAAATCTCTTCTTCTGAGCGTTCCACAAAATGTTGAAAATGCTTCAGCTGCGCCTCCACATCTTTTGAGCACAGGCTGCGGGCTTCCAAGGGGTACAGACGCCTTTTGAAGATCTTGATTTTCTCAGGGTCATATTTTGCAAGATTATTGGCCTCCTCATAGAGGTAGGAAGCTCCAGCAAGCTCCTTTAAGGCATCATCTTCTCGAAGGCCTTCAGGAGGTGGACCAACTTCAAGGATTCGTGCAACCAAGTCATTGATCATGGTGACCTGGACTGAAGTTGGCCTCTTTCTGGAGGCAGCGGGAAAGGAGAGAGCAGAATGTTTCGCTCGCATGCAGACACCAGCCAGCCCGTTGGCGGAACGAATCGCCTCGTTGACCAGCTGCAGGTGTAGTGAAGAAAGCCCACGCAAATCAAAATTGAAATCTTCTGCGAAGGCAAAATCTTTGTCAAGCCGAGGAAGCGGGAAGGGGTCACCATGCTTTCTGTCCCTGGATACAATGTAGGGATGGTCCCTGTCCACTGTACCGGTGCCCCCCACAAACTGTGCCTCGGATATTTGGCTGTGATGTTGGGCTGCTTCCCCGCCCAGCCAAAGCGGGGAGCCCGGTCTTGCCTCACTTGTCATCGGCGGCAGCGGCCGCCCCAGGCTTGCCTCCTTTCGCAGAAGCTTTGGCCTTTTCTTTGGCTTTGCCTTTGCCGCCTTTGAGATCCCCCTTTTGGTCTCGAGGGTTGCCACCACGATCAGGATAAGGGTTGGCTAAGTACCTCTTCTCCTCGCGATAGAGCCGCACATTTTTCCATATCTGAGCTCGGGCCTTCAACTGGCTGGTCAAATGCTCACCCAATAGATTGAATTAGTTTATTTTCTGACTATTATCTTCGTTTGGTGGTTTTCATTTATTTCTTAGAAACAGGTTATGATGAGTTGCCGAAATATCTTCGACGATTCTGTCTATTATCTTGTTTTTTTCGGTCTATTTTCGACATCCGTGAAAACCAAAAATCTATTTATTTTTTTAACTATTTTTTAAACTATATATTATTTTTTGAAACTATATATCTTATTTCGATGCCCGGGCATCGCCCAAACACCGTCGTAGTTAGGACCTAGTTTCTATCAAACTACGACCCTTTATTTTCATTTTTTTTGCCAAAGTACGACCCTGAATTTTCGAGAAAATTTGAAACTACGATCAAAGTACGACCCTATTTTTGGAAGGATATACAATGTGAAAACATATCATGTCAAAGTGTTTGTGATATAGCGCACTTGTCCTCAAACTTGTATGTGTGCCATCTTGTTGCGATGTGATCCCTTGTGGTTTGATGAATTTTTTTAATCCATGATGACCTTGAGACATTTTGAGGGACCCTGAGAGACCTTGAGGGACCTTGAGAGACCCTGAGGGACCTGAGAGACCCTGAGGAAACTTGAGGAACTGTTTGAAAGAACTTGAGAAACCTTGAGGGAACTTGAGAAACTGTTTTTGAAAGAACTTGAGAAACCTTGAGGGAACTTGAGAGACTCTGGGGGAATTGAAGAGACTACATGAGGGACCTTGAGGGCACTTCCTGAAACCAATGAGTAATGGTTTTATTAAAAAAATAGGTCTATTTTTGGAAGGTTGCAGTTTGCTGGAAGCAAATCTCTAAAACATTCGGAGTCATGAGAATGGTTTTGTCCATCTTCAAGGTGGAGAGAAGTTCCACTTCCATATGTATAGTCAAATAATTCTCGCAAATATCCATGTATTTCATTCCGTGGATTGCTGTCTCACTCAAGGTTTTGCAGGTCACAGTGGATTGTTCTCTCCTGCTCAAGGATTGCAGTTTCAGTGGACTCTCTCACTCAGGGTTGTGTGTTTGAGTGTGCCCCCTCTCTCACTCAGGGTTTTCGGTTGGCATGTCCTGTATATACGTTTCACGTTTCACTTGTATCCATACAAAAACCATGAGGGGAAATTTTGAGAGACCTGGAGAGTTTTGGGATTTGGGGTTGAGTCTAAAATATGTGAGTAGAAATTTCAACCAATTTGAGAAGAGCCACAGGTTTTGGAACATGCATGCAGAGCTGAGACAACTGAACTTTATCAAAATGTATCACTGAAAATGACTTCAATAGTTAGACTCTGTGGTTTATCAACCAGTATTTTGGGCTCTGAACAATAGCTGTCAAATTTTGATAGGTGCTCGCAAACATGCTGCAACCGCGCCAACGTCTCACTGCAGATCCAACAGTGAGTGTTGCTGATCTCTGCGGGCCTCTTGAAACCTACATGGATCAAGAGCGTGAGAACAATGTTTTCAAGGTTTTGGAGCCGCCCCCCCAAGCCAGTTGGAAGAGTGGTTGTCCTACTGGGTGGTTAAGTGGTTTGGCTGACCTCTTCAAAGCCTACGTGATTGTGGCGCCCAAGACCATCGTGAGTGCCAAAAAGCACAAACAAGCTATGCTCAGGCTTTTGGAGACCAAGAGGTGGGGACATTCGAAGAAGAACAATGATGATGCAGCTGACATGATGGATGATTGGGTGCGCATGGGGTTGGCACACTTACGTATTTTGAAACAACATGCAGACAAAAGAGAACAAGCATTCCGAAAATGCGACAAAGCACAGCGCCAAGCCTTAGACAGCATCCTTGCTTTGATCAATGTCGATGTGGGTAGCCAACTCGCCCTTTGCCCTGTGGATGGCGACAGCCAACAATCTGCAGAAGCATCACCCTCCCCTTCGCCCCCACACACGACGAGCAATCAGAGCAGCCAGCCCGTGAACCCAAAATCAGTGTCTATGGATTTCAATGCAATCTTTGATGGAGTCTTGCAAGAAAGTGAGGAAGATGAACAGAAAGAAATCAAGATTACATACCTCAAGCAGCCTTCCTCAACTGGCGCCTCCAGCTCAAAAGCAACCCAAGATGCTGAGAGCCCATCCCCCCAGAAAAAAACCATCTTCAGCCTCCACATGACTGAAGAAGAGAAAGACTTGATGAAAAGCGCAGCAGAGGCAGAACCCATTGCAAGAGACGGCAAATCCCAAAACCAAAGGATCAATGCCATTGCGCCCAAACCAAAGAAGAATGCGAAAGGAAAGAAGAAGAATGTGCAGAAGAAGACAGAAAGCAAAGAGAAGAAGACAGAAAGCAAAGAGAAGAAGACCAAAGGAGATGCAGAAGAGCAATCCACCCGAGCCCCCATGAAACGACCCGGTGCAGCCCCGGAGACGCTGGGCTTGACACAAAAAGAAGATGAGGACAAACTCAAGGAACGTATCCCTGAAGGAATTGTTGTAGCAGCATTGAATCTCACCAAAGACCTTGATCCAGCCGAAGTTTCCCGAGAGGTTCGACGACAGCGAACAACCAGCAATGCATACCACCGCAGTGAAGTACTGTTGATGAGGCAGGGCATGTGCAAAGAGGATGCGCAGGCAGTGGGAAGGGTTGCTGGTAGATTGGCAGGGGCTGAATTTGACAAACTATGTCCCAGTGCAAAGGCCAAAGCAGCTGCAAAGAGCAAATCAAGCCCCAAAGCAAGTGCCAAGAGCAAACCAAAGGCCAAAGCCAGCACCCTGAAGAAGAAGATCCCCAAAGAAAAAAAGACGAAGAACATGAAGAAGAGCAAAGAGGAACAGATGGGCATCCAAGAGATCGAGAAGACCGAGGTCCTTGAAGAGACTGCGATGAACTCGGAGAACACGCAGAAGAACCCTGAGGATGTTGACTGAGAGTGCAAGCCTAAGCTAGAAAATGAGAACTCGGTCGTACAGATTTTGCCTGCAGGTTGAGCTAGAATGATTTGATTTCTTCAAGTTGTGTTTCAAAATCAAACTTCATGTGAGTGTCTGTGTGTGTACAGCACTTTCTCTTGGTGAAATGTTCAGCCTGGAAAGAATGTTGGAACCGCTCAGTGCTACCGTGTCACCTAGCTTGCCACTGAAAAAAGAACGTTTTGCCTGCCGAGCCGAAAACTTGAAACGATACAAGTGTGAACATGTTTCAAAGAGCTTTACACGATGAGGTTTGAGTTGAATTATATAAAGAGACAACTTACAAATTATACACAATAATCTTGATAAACCGTGAGAGAAACCTTGAGAGTTTGTAAATTTCCCCTTGGTTTAGACCTTGCCAAATGGACCCCCCCAAGTCTGGGAAAATCGCATTATTTCCTGTGTTTTGGCGCCAATTTTTGGGACTTGGTGGGGTCCATTTTGGGGGGGGCCCACCCACGGGAAATTTGGTATTGAGAGTCATGTCACAATTCAAAACCATGAGAGAGCATGCTCAGAGGGATGATTTTTTCAACACTAACCTTGAGAGAGAGAGAGAGAGAGGCTCAGAGGGATGGATTTTTTTTTCAACACTAACCTTGAGAGAGAGAGAGGGGCTCAGAGGGATGATTTTTTTGAACACTAACCTTGAGAGAGAGAGAGAGGGGCTGAGCCGGCTTCAAGACGCGAACCAAGCCTGTGGTCACAGCAAAAAGGTGAGGCGCGTTCTGACATGTGAGCGTAGTTTAGCTTGAAAAGAATCTAGGATATGAAGTGATTCCCAAAAACTGTTTCAAATTCAATGGGGGTATGGAAATTGTAAAACAGAACAATGGTGCATTCATGTGAGCATGTCGAATTTGAAAGAGGTTTTCTAGCTTTCAACTAAGAAGCATTGCCATCTTCTGTAGTTGTCCATGTGAAGCTTGTACATGTGTATATTCCATATACTTGCGTTTCAAGGACACTATCATTGGAAAACAATGGAAAACGATGAAAACACACATGCAGTCCCACCATTATTTTCACAAAGCCGAATGTCAGACCATGTGAGTTTAATCTTTTCATGATCAATCTATTTAACAAACACTGCACAGATTTCACCTTCACTGTCTGAGAGAGTTCAAGTTACACATCCATGAACTCCAGAACCGCTTCTAAGACCTTTATGATCAACATGTTTGAAAAGTCATGCAAGTTTGGCAATTTCAAGTATCCCTGAGCCCCAGCACTGCTTTCCAACCAGTTCCAAACATTTGGACTGCTTTAATGTTTAAACCTTCTCCCACGAAATCCCTGTGCCACTTTCGAAAGCCATGCAAGATGAGAAGCCGCCCCATAGAATGTTCGTCAAGCACCTCTACATGTCGACCACAGAGCACGACATGGTGGAGCAGATGAACTATCTGAATGCTACGGAGGGATTATACAATGTGTACCTGGTAAAGCGTGGGCAATATGATGGAAACAAAAGCATCAACGCCTTCCTGAGCTACCAAACAGAGGACCAATGCCGGGCAGCGATAGAAATCCTGAATGGATCCTACCTGAATGGACTGGCAAAGTACCCCTTAGAAGTGGACTTTGCAGTTCCTCGCAAGACTGGCAGGAGGTACTATGCTCAGCCCCCGGAGCAGCTGGAGCACACAGCAGAGTTTGCAGAGCAGCACCACCCGCAGTCCCAGGACGATGAACAGAACCAGATGGACAACCAGGAGCCTGATCTACGACAACCTCAAACACCACCAAAGGCTTCAGAGAAGACACCGCCTGTGGCTCCTGCGATGCCACCCATGCATCACTTACCACCTCGACTGCCTCTGCCGCCTTTGCCGCCCTTTGCACCTCCCAGGTATCCTCTGATGGTGCCACATGGGTACCCGGTACCACCGCCAATGCTGCCAATGGGATACATGTTCCCACCACCACCTCCTGTTTGGGTGCCGCCACCATGGGCCATCCCCGAAGACTGGAGTGGAAGTGCGAAAAGCAAAGCAATGGGAAGCAAGGTCCCTAAAGCTGAACCTGAAGGTGACAGCGGCGAAGGGGATGAGGAATTACAGACCTGGTTACAGGACAACCTGAAGGACAAAGTGTGGGACGATGGGTATGGGTCAGTGGAGGCTGCAGAGTCCTACATGCTGGAGAAAACCATCAAGGACAAGAAGCAGAAGGCCGACAAGACAAAGGACAAGGACAAGGATCAGAAGAAGAAGGCGAGCAGATCGAGGAGCCGATCAAAAACCAAAAAGGAGAAAAAAAACAAATGAATTTGCTGTGACAGGTGGCTAAGCTACTGGAATTGGCCCAACCCGGAATCAAACAGCCGAGCCGACTTGAGCTTTGGGAGGGAAAAAAAAACGAGTGCGGGGGTCTTTGGGATAGGAGGTGGAAGACATTGCTGCTTGAGTCTTTGATGTCTATAGCTGTACTGAAAATAAGTACCAAAAAACGCCCTTTTTGGTAGTTATTTGTTGTTTCACCAAGAACAATGTTTTTCAGATATTTCTGTGGGGTTCAAATCATGTGCACATGTCAGTTCATGCAGTCAGCTTGCCAAGTGGTATTGTAAAAAAGCTATCATCAAACATTACAAGTGGATGGAATTCAGTTTTCATAGAAACATGTTTAAACTGGGTAAAATGTTCTTGAGGCGTTTCAGCCAAATACGTGACACAAACAAACGGTTTGAGAAACATACTTTGCAACTCAATGAGTCAGGTCACAATACCTGCAGACATGAGCTGAGTGTGGCCGCTGACTGTGATCGTTTGAATTTTGGCTCCAGTACATGGCTGCAAGACTGGGAGGGTTTGAGAGTTTCAACATGTGATCAACATTTGCATTAAAGAAAAGATATCATCAAAAATGACAAGTGGATGGACTTCATTTTTCATGGCAATATTTTTAAAACTGAATATTATTTGTTTTGAAACCTTTCAGCCAAACATGTGACAGTATAGAGCTTGAACCTTGAGGGACCCTGAGAGCTGTGAGAGCGCATAGCGAACCTTGAGGGACTGTGTGCATGTTAGAGACCGTGAGAGTAGAGAGAACACATGTTGAACCTTGAGGGACTGTGTGCATGTGAGGGACCGTGAGAGTGGAGAGAACACATGTTGAATCTTGAGGGACTGTGTGCATGTGAGGGACCGTGAGAGTAGAGAGAACACATGTTAAACCTTGAGAGACCCTGAGTTGAGAACTTGAACTCACCCACAACCAACCTTTCAACCCCAAGAGTTATTCCATGGAAAAACATTGCTGTGGATTAGAAGATATTAGAGATAATGTGTTTAGGTACTCAAGAGTAGCTCACAACTTCAAACTATGTCAATCCTCTCAGAGTTTCACTCAATGTCGCTCCTCTCAAAGTCTCTCACGGTTGATAGTTGCACGGTTGCAAGGTTAGCAATGTACTTGATCATGATCACTAGATTTGTCTAGCGTTTGAGAGCTTGAAAATTCATGATCAAGCATGCGGAAAACTATTGTTTTGATATTGAAGCCTACTGAGTGCTCAAAGGATTTACACGACCCCGGATTTCAAACTCCCGTGGATCCCATGTCTGAGAAGGCAATGCTGTGTGCTGCTGAGTCCCAAGAGCCAACCCAGGGTCAAGCAACCAATGTGATTGGACCTGATGTTGATGCTGAAACCATTTGCTTGGGTAATAGCCCACCAGCTCATGTGAATTCCCCTGGTGACCTGGTGCCCGCTACTGAAACCTTGGAGCCAGCCGATTCCCAGCCAATCTCTTTTGGAACGCCCCCTGAACTCTTTGTTGCTGAGAATGAAACCCAACAGCCCAATGATACCTATGAAACCATGTCAAACCCTGATGAACTTCACGCTTTGAATGCTGATACGTTTGTCCAGGGTGAGATCCCAAAGGATGAGCTGTGTGGGTCTCAGAATCCAGCAGTGCCAGCCGAGTCTGAGCCCATGGATTCCTAGCCAATTGGTTCTGACCCGCCAGATTCCCCAGCAGCTTCTCCACCATGTCCTGATGAAGATTGTGAAAGTGAAGAACATGCTTCGGATGATGAGATGCCTGGTTTCCTCACCATGGATGGAAGCGGATATTGGACTCAGCATGGTCAGGTCAGCGGCTACTCCTTGCAGCTGATGGAGGTTGTCCAGCAATTGCTCGACAACCATGATGCTTCTGGATCTTCTCAGCCAGCACCACCTCAGAACCCAGGAAGCCGTGCAACGCGTCGCGCAGCTCGCTTTGAACGCCAGCGCAAGGTCAACAAGAAGAAGGGCAACTGAGGTTCAGTAGTTGCTAGGGATAAGTCTTCAAAGTACTGAAGCACTTTTGTTATCAGTTTTTCGTATGTAGAGTTGGCTAGCCCTAGAGCTCCATAGACCGTGAAGAAGTAGGAGTATTTGGACCCAACTTTGCTTGCTCAGCTTAGATCTCAACGAGATGCGACAAAAACAAAGCTCCACTGTCAGCTGCAAGTCTTGAGTTTCACACTGGAATGAATGCAGTGAAGAATCAAACTTTATTCACAAAGATGCACAAAAATTCTGGTTTGAAGTAGAAACCATGAGGGACTTTGAGAGGAGAGACAGCTGTTCTGTGAGAATGGGGTCGTAGTTTGGTAGAAAGTAGGTCATACTTTATAGTCGTAGTTTGGTCATACTTTCCGGAGGTGTCATACTTTGAAATCACAAAACATTGTAAATACCATGTGTTTTGATGGGCAACTATCAAATTACTATCAAAGTACTATCAAACTACTACCAAAGTACGACCAAAGTACGAGTAGAAACTACGACGTAGTTTCTACCAAACTATGACCCCATCTTGAAATCACAGTTCAAATTACACTGAAATTAACATATTTTTTTCCAAGTGTAAATGAAATTCTGAATTGGTTTTGATGAATTTGACAAGAAAGTGGATACTTTGCATGTGACAAAGTCATGGTCTTTGTTGTGAATTGCTGCAAAGTATTTGCTGCCAATATACTTGTTCGTTCAGATTTTCAGCATTACATCGGGCCTTGGAACTAGAACTTGTGTTCCTTAGCAATGCCTGTTTTGAAGCGGCCGGCTTCAGCGAGTGGACTTCTTTCTATGAAGAAGCCTGCTTCTCATAGCTCCATCAAGGACGTGGTCAGTGAACTCAAGGATAGTCAGAAGCATGATGAGGACAAGGAAGGGTCTGAAGAAGTAGCGCGTGACAAGCAGAAAGCGCAAAAGTTTCACAAAATGCTGAACCAGGGATCACTACCGGAGCACATCGTGCACATGTACAACATCGAAGCCAAGAAAAATAAAGATGGAGCTCGAGCCTTTCAGACCCGTTTGATCAATTCCCTGTTTCAGAAGAACAAGGACGGCACCTTCAGTGTACAAACTGAGAAGCATGAGTTTCAGGAGTACAGGAAAATTTACCACCAGTCTATTGCAAAGGACAAGACGGAGGCATTACCCCGTACCATCATGCTTGCATCTCACTTCGGTGGGAATGAGGCCTTAATGAAGAAAGCCCTGGACAATGGTGAGTTAGTGTCTAAGGTTGACAAGCAGTCCAACGTTGAATACCTCCAGTTCAGGAAGCTCACCAATGCCGAGGTGCGTGGCAATGAAGAAGGAGAACACGTGGCTGGGTCCAAGAAGCTCTCCAGAGAGCAAGCTCATTCCTTGGCCAGTGTCATGGCCAAGCTCAAGTGGAAGTTTGAACTGAGCAAGGCTGGAGGTGTGAACATGTTAAATTGAGAAATCAGCAGGTCATTTTTTCCAGTGCCCCATAAAAAAGGCAAACGTTTTTCCAAACCTATTGAAAACAAACGCTCCCGAAATGGAAGCAAACCCAAGGCTTTTGGTATGCTTTACAGCAAAGTCTTCACATCCTTAGAGCGTGTTTTCTTGATCCCCTTCAACCCCAAGAAATGGATACCTTGTTTGACTCATTAAATTTCATCCCATGGAACCTCAGTGAACAAGGCCAACACTAGGAAATGCCCACTTCTCTTTAATCAGTTCCCTGAAAGTTTCCCTCAAATGATCTCTCTCTCTCTCTCTCAAAGCATCTCTCAAGGTTTCGCTGCCAGTTCTCTCACAGGTGCAGGATTGAAGAATTCACTTTTGTGCTGTTGCTTGCTTAGCCAGACTCCTCTCACACTCTCTCAGGGATACAGGTTCGACCTGAAGTCTAGACTAGACATATGTATGACCTCTTAAGTCAACCACAAACAAAGGTTCAACATCCATGAAATACCATTGTCGCCTGTCTCAGCCCTCTCTCGGATAAAGATTTTCAACAAGTTTCTCAACTGAAAGTTTGCAAAGAAGTAGTAGTTACTGCATCATTTTGCCAATTTTAATGTCTGATTCTGCACTGCTTGCCGATGGGACTTGGAGGCTGATGAAAAGCAGTTGGAGGACGCAAATGAAATTCCCGACAAGGTGAAGAAGCTTGCTGCCAAGGCTAAGGATGCATGCGAACGCTTGCTCAAGGATGGATCAAAGTTGGTGGGCCAGCCTGAAACCCAAAAATTGATCAAAGATGGCTACAAGACCCTGTCCACTCACATCAACAATTTGAACACCCTCTTGATGTTCAATGAGTTGCCTGACAAAGCCACGATCAACACCCACAGCTTGGAGAATTTCATTGGCACCATCGCCCAGGACGTGGATCAGTACCATGGTGAGGTTCAAGCAGCCAAAGCTAGGGCCAAGGCAAAGTCCTAAATGTTAGATTAGGCACTTCTTCAATATGATGCTCCACCCCCGGTTAGGATAGTTTTGGGCTCTTAGGCAATTTCTATGGAAAACGCATGAGCTTCTTTTTTCCAAACATAGACGGGTGCGAAGCACTGTTGTCAGCGAGGCAACCTGAACGCAAAACAAGTTCAAACTCGAAGGATTCGACGAAAAAATTGAATCTTGTTCTGTGCTGGTCCTGGTCGTGTGAAACCATGGTTTGATGGATATGTACGAAAAGAATGAACTGATTCTGCAAAAAGATTTTATCAAAATGAGCAATGCAATACACCAATGAGACTTTTCATACACACACACACTTGTCGTTTTCTGTTCTCTTAATTGAATTTCTTCCTATTCTTGACTCTTGAGACATTGGAGGGCTTTGAGAAACCTTGAATGACTTTGAGAGACTTAGATATGGAGTTTCCTTGGCACAAAACCTTGAGAGAGGAGGAAGCATCAGAGAGAGGACCTTGACAAAGAAAACCTTGAGAGAGAGGGTCTTGAGAGAGAGAGACGGTATAGCAGGTGAAGGGCCAACAAGAGCTATAAAAACACACCCTGAGCTGTGAGCGCAGCTTGAAAAAAATTGACAGTGAGCAGCCAAGATTGAGCCAAACATCCTTACACATGGTAACTTTACATATTTGGGCAATTTATATTATATTGTGACCCCTGTTGCAGTGACTCAGAACAAGAACATTGTCAAGCATCAAATTCAATCTTTGTCTTGATACATCACATGCAAAATGCCTGCTTATATACTGACTCAAATTACAGCTTCGTTTTGGATCAGAGCTATTGATGCGGCTGGTTTTTGGAGCAGGAAAATTGTGGGAAGTGAGCCAGCCCAAGCAAGGATCCAATGTTGCAACCACCAAGAGTTTCAAAACGTTTTGTTTTTTGTAGACCATTGACCTATTTTGATAAAGAAAGAAACATAGATCAATTTATGTTTTCTAGAAACTGATTGAAAGAATTGAGAAGATTTCGGCTTAAACTTGCCTCCTGTTTGCAGATTTTTTTTCAAAAATACCCATCCATTGCTACATGGAATCCTCGCGGCCGAAGAAACGACCCCGGGGTGGCCTACGACAGAGATTGAAGAGGTCCAATGAAGGTATAGAAGAGAACAATGACGTGACCTCTGCCTTAGCCTTGCTACTTCTGAGCTTGTTTGCATGGGTTTTTTTCTCACCGCAAAGAGTACAACAGATAGCTGAGATGGCTGTGAGAGACATCAAAGCTGCAGCAGAAGACCCTTCTATATTGAAAAATTTGGAAACTTTGGCCAATTTGGGGACCAAGGGAAAACATTCAAACAATATCCATGCCGAATTGATGAGCAAAGTTGAGCACGTGCCGGCCATTCCAAGACCTTTCAGCGCAAAAATACCTTTGAAAGGCTTCCCAAATTCTATGCAATATTTCCTGTTACCTCATGAGATGTTTTCTTGTATTTACCACAACTACAAAAATCTTTGGAACACTGCAATTGTACCAAGTGTCGACCGTGTGAAAAAGTTCTGGCGAAGCATGCGGCTACACCCATCTATGCAAGGCCATCCTATGAAGGCCGATGACTTTTGGGACGCCCAAACAGTCCCCCTTGCTGTCCACGGTGACGGCGTTCCAATAACAGGAATCGGAAAGGTGTGGTCGCGTGTCATGACCAACTACTCATGGTATTCTCTACTGGGCCATGGAAACACCGCTTCGATGCTTATGTGGATTTGGAGGTTCTTTGACAAGCTTAAAGTTGGCAACCAAACCGAAGGAACATTGCATGAATTTTACACCCTCCTAAAATGGAATTTTCTTACATTAGCTTCCGGAAAATGGCCATCTCACGACCACAGAGGTGTGAAGAAATTTGGCTCATTGACAGCAACTTTTCCTTGTGTGTTTCTGTTTCCGGGAATTTTCCCAAAGCTAAGGCAGCCCTTTTCAAAGTTTCATCAATGTCACTCCTCTCAAAGTCTCTCATGGTTGAAGGTTGAACGGTTTGAGTTTCAATTTGAAGTTGTGCATTTCATCCATCATGAAACCATATTTCCTAGGTGTAGGTTTTTGAAATCTCATGACCCCAAAGGTTTGCAGCAAATTCAAAAGAGGGCCTGAAAGCCAACACATTGCTGGCTGGTGGATGGAAAGCTGTGTTGTGGGCATTGACAGGTGACCTGGATTACTTTTGCAGCATGCTGGGAACCCCAAACTATTCCTTAACGACTGGCCCATGCATGCATTACCAATGCAAAATGACAGGCCCAATAACGTGGTCTGATTTTAGATCAGAAGCTGCATGGCGTACAACACGTTGGGACCCTGAAGAGTGGAGAAGTTGGGAACAGAGAACAAAATGTGTGTTACTAACACTTCCTGGTGCTTCCTGCTGGACAATAGCTTATGATTGGGTTCATGTGAAGTTCTTGGGCGTGGACCAATACATTTTCGGCAGCGTGCTATTCGTATTGGTGTGCATGGTCATGGAGGGGGAACAGGAAGCAAACCTTGCAGCCTGTTGGGCCTTCTTGAAAACTTTTTTCGAAACAACAAGACGCCAACACCATTCCGCTATCTGACAAAACTTTCGATGTTCATCAGAAGTGGCGGCAAATACCCCAAACTACGTGGCAAAGCTTCAGAAATTCGCCACTTCGGAAAGGCTTTGCTGGCCTTGTGGAACCAGTTTTCCAATCAGGCACTTTTGCTGCATAGGCGTATAGCATTGATGCTAAAGCACAATGTTCACTTGGAAGACATGATCACTCATCACAAGGAAGACTTCTCCCTTCCCCCGGGTCCTGCCCAGGAATTTGAGGAAACCGCAAACGGAATGCTATTGCTTTTGACTCAGATTGCAGACCATTTTGTTGAAGAAGGCCTGAAAGTCTTCGACATTACATCGAAAAGCCATATGCTTCAAGAATTGGCTATTTTGAGTCGATGCATCAATCCCAAAGTCATTTGGTGCTTTATGGGGGAGGACCAGATGCAACGAATGCAACAAATCGCCAAAGCTTGTGTTCGTGGAAACAAAGTTGACCAACAAACTTCAAAGCTGGCACGTCACTACAGGTTGGCCCTTCACCTACATTTTCTCGACTTAGCGCACTGAACTTGAAAAAAAACGAGTGAAATGATTTCAAAACTGATGCGCCACCGCATGCATCCACTGGTATATAGTCAGTTTGGTGGCAACTTGAGCGCTCCACGAAAAACATTGACTTGTTCTGTACTGCTCATTGTCGTGTGAGACCATGGTTTGATGGATATGTATGAGAAGAATGAACACTTGATTCTGAGAAAAGATTGTATATAAACACAAATAATCGGATATTTTATACGCACAGCTGTTTTCTGAATTCAACTCTTCCTACCCTTGGCTCTTGAGACACCGGAGAGATCTTGAGAAACCTTGAGTAATTGAGTGAAATACTTAGATATCGAGTTTCCTTGGCACACACCTTGAGAGAGGAGGAAACCTCAGAGAGAGAGAGAGAGAGGGGACCTTGACAAAGAAATCCTAGAGAGAGAGAGAGAGAAAGAGACAGACAGAGAGACAGAGAGAAAAAGAAAGAGAAGGACATAGAAAGAGGAAGAGAAAAAGAGAAACAGAAAGAGAAAGAAAGAAACAAACAGAAAAGGAGAAAAAGATCAAAACAGAAAGAGGGAAAGAAAGAAAGAGAAAGAGAGGAAAAGGAAGGGAGAAAGAGAAAGAGAACGAGAAAGAGAAAAAAGAAAGAGAAAGAGAGGAAGAGGAAGAGGAAGAGGGAAAGAGAAAGAGAACGAGAAAGAGAAGGAGAAAGATAAAGAGAAAGAAGAAAAGGAGAAGAGGAAGAGAGGAAGAGAGGAAGAGAGGAAGAGAGGAAGAGAGGAAGAGAGGAAGAGAGGAAGAGAGGAAGAGAGGAAGAGAGGAAGAGAAAGAAAAAGAACAAGAGGAAGAGAGGAAGAGAAAGAAAAAGAACAAGAGGAAGAGAGGAAGAGAGGAAGAGAGGAAGAGAAAGAAAAAGAACAAGAGGAAGAGAGGAAGAGAGGAAGAGAGGAAGAGAGGAAGAGAGGAAGAGAGGAAGAGAAAGAAAAACAGCAAGAGGAAGAGAGGAAGAGAGAGGAAGAGAGGAAGAAAGAGAGGAAGAGAGAGAGGAAGAGAGAGAGGAAGAGAGAGAGGAAGAGAAAGACGAAGAGAAAGACGAAGAGAAAGACGAAGAGAAAGACGAAGAGAAAGACGAAGAGAAAGATGAAGAGAAAGACGAAGAGAAAAACGAAGAGAAAGACGAAGAGAAAGACAAAGAGAAAGACAAAGAGAAAGATAAAAAGAAAGACAAAGAGAAAGACAAAGAGAAAAACAAAGAGAAAGACAAAGAGCAAGACAAAGAGGAAGACAAAGAAAAAGACAAAAAGGAAGACAAAGAAGAAGACAAAGAAGAAGACAAAGAGGAGGACAAAAAGGAAGGCAAAGAGGAGGACAAAGAGAAAGACAAAAAGAAAGACAAAAAGGAAGACAAAAACAAAGACAAAGAGAAAGACAAAGAGAAAAACAAAGAGAAACACAAAAAGGAAGACAAAGACAAAGAGAAAGACAAAGAGAAAGAGACAGGTTGATGAAAAAAAGGCTTGTTGTGGCGACAACCAAAAGCATGGGAGAGCGTTTGTTGAGCCACTTTGAAACGCCTTGAGAGAACCCGAGGGATCACATGTCGAAATAGAATTCCAAAAATCAATAACATGCCTTTTTTCAAATCTGCTGTATAGCCTTCTTGCTATATATATGGCTATCTATATATATAGATATAGATATATATATATATATTTATTTATTTATATTTGCAAATAGCACAACAAATTATATAAAAAATCAGGGTCGTAGTTTGGTAGTCCAAGGGTCGTAATATGGTCGTAGTTTGGTCGTAGTTTGCTTTCCGAAAAAAATAACTATAGTTTAAAAAATAATTTAATTCCTAAGAAATAGGTTAAAAAAAAAAACTATTTTTAGTCTATTTTCGAAGGTTTATTTAAAATATAAAATTATTTTTTTTTTAAACTATAAGTCCAAAAAAATAACTATTTCGATAAAAAAAATAATTTATTTTCTCTTCTTGAAATAATATATTTTAAAAAGATGAAAATAACCTAAATCCTAGGAAATAGTTTAAAACCTACGAATTAGACTATAGTTTATTTTTAAGCTAAAACAATCTATTGGGCATTGAACTTGGCCGTGACTGCTCGGCCTTCAGCCGAGACTGGCCCACCCAGGATCAAGCCCAAGCCGGAGAAGCCTGGCGCGCGGCTATTTCTTTCGGTGGCGACCTCCAGTTGCACGAGCCACCTGACTAGCTGCTCAGCAGCAGCAAGACTCGACACGTTGAGCTGATCATAGCTGATCATCAAGCGAAGCACCTCACAAATGATCCGGTGGGAATGACAAACTGAGGAGTTTTCGTTGATGCCTGAGAGACGGGACCAGTCCACATGGTATCTGTGTAGGCTTCCCGGGCCTTCAGAGACCGCCTGCAAGAACTCCTGAGCTGCACGGACGTCATCCGGCAAAGGAAAGTCATCCGCCTTCTCCACAGTCATGAGAGCAACGGCCTCAGCAAGATCAAGCTTGCGATGGCCAGCTTTGTCAGTGTGAACGCCCAGGAGGCGCACATCTTGATCTGAATCTTGCTTGGACTTGGAAAACTCCGCTGCCTCACCTGTGGTCATTCTCTGGACGAAAACCTCTTCGCCATTCAAAGAAACAACGCCTTTGGATTCAAAGGCCATGCCAGTATTGGGGTCATCCATGAGCTCCGAGGCAATGGTGTCGCCATAGTCCTTCCTAGAAGGTTCAGCGATGATCCACACATAGGACATGGCCTCACCTGGATCATCTTCTCCCAACACTGCTGCCTGCATCGCAGCATTGCGTTTTCGCGCTTCGAGCGCGACCCGGCTGATGGGATCAAATGCGTACACATCGTCAGCCAAACCGGCGGGAAAGCCTGAGGTCCGGTCCAAAACCACGTGCCTTTGTGTGTTCAAATCGTGGCGGACCACTTCTTGGTCTGGAGTGAGGCAGAGCCAAACGCCAGCAGTCAACTTCCGCAGCAATATCCTATGGTGCCACGTGAAGACAGCATCATCAGGAAAGTGTACCAGGACCTGAATGTCAGGGATATCAAGCGTGAGGACTCTAGGTGCTGCGGCCATCTTGCTTTTTCAAATCTGAAGGACGGATGGGCCCTCTTTGGACTGGTTGCAGACTCACAATCGGAGAGTCCTCACCTGAAGAGCTGCTGGAGGCCTCCTGTTGGACTGGAGGAGTTGCACGCGCAGCCCGACGAATCCGGAGGCAGCAGCAAGACCAAATGAACAGAGCAAATTGGAGAACGAGACAACCTTGCAACACGACCCGAAGAGATGAGGAGTATCTAATCTCCGAATGCAACTCAGCTTGACAGGTGTGGCTGGCCGTTTCCTCCAATGCTAATCTCGTCACTTTTAATTCGGTCTTGAGTGAGTGAAGATCAATTGCAGCGAGTCCAGTCTCTTGCGAACCAAATCGACCAATGGCGTAACCTACGAACCCCGCCAGGGCAAGATGGCCTCTGGCAGCAAACATCTGATTCGACTTGAGAGGAATTTATGACCGGGCAACTGGAGTTCACGTGCATCTGTCAGTTATCCCCCGTGCAAGCATGGTATATATATATATTTATCATTTTGATTCTTTTGATCTTAATTCTTTGAATTTAATGATATTATTTCGATGCCGTATCATGTTTCTTCTTCGACAAAAAATATATAATTAAAATCATAATGGGATATCATGGGTATGTCTTGATGATACAGCTTCGTGATGCCAAATTTCAGAAGATTTGCATCCAAATGAGCGGTCGTGCTTGCCGAGCCTATAAAGTGACTAGAGAAAATCAGAAACATAACCATAAGGCATGCTATGCTCTATATAGAGAAAGGCGATGATCAGAGGGCGGTTTCTGGATGTTTATCGCCGTGTTCCATGTTTTTGTTTCACATTTTCAATGCACTTACAGAATATATTAAAATGTATCAACAAGTTATCTGGTTGATGGTTTCAATCCCTCTGAAACATATGAGTTCGTCAATGGGAAGGATGACATCCCATATATTATGGAAAAATAATCCAAATGTTCCATGGAAAAATAATCCAAATGTTCCAAACCACCAACCAGTATAGCCATGGAATTCAATGTAACAAGAAAATTTTCCAGGTCTCTCGGTCAACCCGAACGCCCTTGGATGGCACTGCACCGGGAATACATGGATGGGCTGGGCAGTCGAGGCAGTCGATGCGGATCGCCATGATTGAATGGGATGGATATTGAAGCATATTGAATGGGATGGATGGTTTGGTTAATCTATAATGATGTATGTATATAATGATTGAATAGTATATATTATATTGAATGGGATCTATATTGAATAACCCTTCTATGTTGAATGGGATCTATAATGATGTAATATGATGTATGATATATGTGTATGACTATGTCACGTGGATGTTCTTCTTGACGTAAAATCGGGACTACATATCATCACTTGTTGAATCATCATGTTGCATCGACTGGCCCAGCCCCTTGCAACCGGTAGAAACCCACCGCTGTGCCCGCTGCGTGATGCACACGAGCTTCTCTGATTGCAAGGAAAAAGCAAGACTAATCGATCGACCAGGTCGACACCGATATGCCCATCAGAGTGAACCCGGCCGATTGCTTCATTACTTCGGGCATATCTTGTCGCAACAAGGCCGAAATAGAATATTGTTCTGCGCATCAAATGCACCTTGACATTCCCAGGAAGTCCAAAGTGATCCCAACGAAAATCACCGCCATCTGCCACTGATAGCCAAAGAAAACAATGCGGTCCATGTCGCAGGAAAAGGGAAATAACATGGGTATGGGTCAATACCTACAGATACATTTTTAGTGGGGTGAACATCCATTTACCAGCTATTTTGGGGTTCACTAGGTACCAGGGTTTTGACCCATCCCCACATGAAGCTGAAGCATTTTGAGGGGGTACAAAGTAACGTGGCCAGGAGCCGAATTTTATCTATTGATCATGATCAAAATCAGTTCGCATCATTGTTGTCCAAGTAGCCTAGGTTCATAAACAACGACCTATGGAATAGCAATTGCTGTTCCATATCTACAATCATAAATAGGTAAAACTAGCTAGGTATAGCTAGGTCCATTGTTTATGAAACAACAATAGCAATGGAATAGCCTAGGTCCATTTGCAACCATTTAAGTAACTCTGGAATCCCTGGGAAGAATACCCCAGCGGCCTAGAAACAACGCTGACCCTTCTGGATCCGGGCTGGGGCAGCGAGCATCGTGATCTGCATCCCATTGGATTTCATCACTGAAAATGTGGATTTACTTGAATATATATATATACTATATATATATCATATACTATGTATATATATATCATATACTATGTATATATATACATATATCATATACTATGTATATATATGGAATCCCATGGAGCGGTGCAATTCCTATACTCCAGGACTCCACCAGCTCCTGTCATCCTTGCATTCAAGTGCCACGAACTGCAGATGGTGATTACTCAGAGGTTAGGCATATGCAGGGCTCCACAACAGAATTCTCTATTTCTTGAACTGGAAGGGCAAAATGTCAGGAAAAATAATTGTGGAAACGCGATCTGGCACATAATGACATACATCATATGTTCTCATACATATGTATCTATATACTATGTAAATATATATATAATATATATATATATATATATTCATGCACACATTCTTGTAAGGCCCACTTCTTCTAATATTGATAAACATTCTTTTGCGACCCCACTTCCTTCTCGCTTAGATATTCCAGTCAGATCACGAACTCATAGACAGCTGAAATTGAAATGGCACTTCTCAGCCTCAGATCGGGCTCCAAGTAGTGCCTGAGTCGGTGCATCAAATAGACAGCAAGTCCACTGGGTTTCTTCAAAAATAACATTTATATAATGGTGCTTTGAAAACAGAGGGGGGAACCCTTAAAATCATCAAACGTCCAATTTTTTTGGATGGTTCTGGATGGTTTCAGATGGTTTTGGAATCCCAAATTACTTCAACATCCAAATGGAGAACGGGAAGTCAACAGGCTGAAACCACCAAACAACGTTTGCCTTGGCTGCCGTCAGTGGGTCCAGTCCATCAACCAGTTGTGACCCTAATTAGTTACCGTTGTCAGGAGGCACCGGAAAAATCAGTGGCATTGGAAAGTATGGATTTTTGTTGGCTTGGAACCTTCCACGTGACAAACCACAGTCTCGTGTATCAAACCGACTGGACGCGTGTTTCCGTGGGGTTGAAAACCAGACTCTTCGGACTGCACGGTCCCAATATGAGGCGCCACGGTCCCCATCCCAAACACGCATGGCATTTCGCCACTATGTGTTTCACTCCATTGTGGCAAGTTAGCCAGAACATTAACTTGGCGGCCATTGACGTACTAGGGTGAAAGAATCCACGCAACATAGATAAAATAGATCAGCAGATAAATAGAGGTAGATAAGATGGACAATCATAGATGAACTAAGATAGATAGGATACCAGGATAGACAATAAAAACAGAGACAGATTAGATAGATCTGAAGAAATCAATGGCAATTTCAGCACTAAAAAAAATGCAGATACTGTACCATCTAAAAACCACATTTTGGGGACAAATCCCCTTACATGGCCCTTACGCAGGCCTTATACTAGGTACCCCCAGTTTAAGTACCCGAAATCGCCATTGCAAAAAGACACCAACATAATAAACAAAAATCGATACGCTAGTAACAAATACAAACTGATACGACAACATAATGCTATGCAAGATTGGATGAGATAAACATAAATTAGAAGACATCTAGATTCAAGATTAAATCACGGACAAATAGATAGATAAATAGATATATAGATAGATCGATAGATTTATAGATAGATAGATAGATAGATCGATTTATAGATCGATTTATAGATAGATTTATAGATAGATAGATAGATAGATAGATTTTATAGATAGATAGATAAATAAAGTATGCCATGGCCAGAACTATAGGCTCCAAAGTCCTCATTTCTTTCTCGGAAGACAAAACGGACCCGCTTTTGAGACAGGAACAAAGCTGATGGTATATACCGTACAGTGCATGTATGAGCATCGCTAAAACATGCTAAAACATACTCCGTATGCATTTGTGATCATTTGCGCACACAAGTATGTATGTCATGTGTAATGATGGATAATCAATGAATCATCAGTCTAATGTAACGCTATGTAACACTATGTAACTTAATGTAGCGCAATGTAATGCAATGTAATGCAATGTACAGTAATGCAGCTACGGAAGTATGCACCTAAATTATACAGTATGTAATAGAGATCGCTGGAACACCTGTGTAAACAATATCATATACAACTGGTCAAAGTAAATCCATGTCAAATACAATTAAAACAATCATTCACGATTGCATGGGCATTTGCCAAAGTTGAGAATCGGAACCGCCCAAACAAGTCGATTGGATGAAACTATACTGAGTGCGTCATGAGTTCGAACAATTTTGCATCAACATGGGTCAAAGCTCGAGTAGTTGCAGGACATTTCATCATGCTGGCATGTGAATACCATTTCAATTGTGAGGTTAATACATGTATGTATATATATATATAGGTACTACTACTACTACTACTACTACTACGACCACTACCACCACCACCACCACCACCAACACCACCACCACCACCACCACCACCACCACGACTACGACTACGACTACGACTACGACTACGACTACCACTACGACTACGACTACGACTACGACGACGACGACGACGACGACTACTACTACTACTAAGATTAAGATTGGCAATTTTTGGCTCTATTTCCACGGGTTTCAGAAAACACATTCGGATTACATCCGGCACTTTTTTCAGCGCGATTTTGGCGCTTGTTCGCCTCCCTTTGCCACCAGTTTTGCAGTCCGGCAGGTGTCCTTTTCGAGCCCTTCTTTTTCTGTCACCTCTTGTTTTCCACTTGAGCCAAATTTGACATGTCTGTGCAAGCATGACCACTTTCGAAATTCAATTGAAGAATGTTTTCTACATCATGTGCATTTCATTTTTAAACTCCCCCTTATTCTGGGAAGTGAGTGTTGGAAATGCCTACGGTGTAGAGCGCCGCACCCCACCCCACGTTGAAGATTAGAGCCCCCCGCTCCCCATCGGAGAATGGCCCTATCCCTGAGATATATCTGTACATTCATATATGATACATATACATAATATATACCCATAGGATCCATGTATGCGATATATGGTAACATTATGTAACATTTACCATCAATATACCCCAAATGTTAGCATATATACCATACATGGATCCTATGGGTTATACATAATATATATATATTACATATACATATACGTCCTATATGTCATGACACAGTTGTGCTTTGGACATCCGTGTGCTGATCTCGGCCTCGATCCGTTGGCCACGTGCGGATTCGATGGAGGATTGGCTCCGAGGACCTGATGGGTCAGTTCCACACTTGTTTCGACGTACGAAGACCGG